CCTCTGAAACACGGTAGCCCCCCATACTCATTCCCTAAGCCCTCCCAACTGGCCCTAAACCCTGGTTTAAGGGTGCAGGTTGGGATGTTCCCCCTTATACCAACAGTCCTGCATAGGGATTCTAGTACCCCCTATTATCATCCCTATGAAGGACTGTCTTTTAGTATAAGGGGGAACATCCCAAGTGGCTGTAGAATTTACGGGGTGTTCAGGGCGTCCAGATTTCAACGCGCAGGCCTCGACCACGATTGGGCGCCACTTCCTTCGAGTACGGCAGGCGCCTCCTATGCTCCCAAAACAAAAAAAGGTCTCAGGTTGGGATGTTCCCCCCTATCCTAACAGTCCTTAAAAGGGATTATAGTATTCCATATTGCATCCCTACTAACAGGTTTTGTGGCGTCCTACAGTTTATGTTGGTGTATGGGATTTTTGAGGTTTGGGGTTTGGGATTAAGGGCCGAAACCCTAAACCCTGGGCCATCCTGTACACACTGAAACGCAACACCCCCCCCCCCCACCTCCCCCCAACAAAACAAAACAACAAAAACAGAAAACACAACGAACTCCCCCAACAACCCTCCAAATCCTGAACCCTATATCAACCCCTAAATTCTGCGTGAATCCTATCCCCTAACATCGAAGACGCCTAGCGGCGAATCAGCGGCCGCTCCCCAAGACTGTTGGTAGATGTGCACGTGCCCGGGGGCCGCTGATCCTCATGATGCGCGCGCACCGGACCCGGGCGTTGGGGCGGCAATGGGCTTTGGCGGGGTGCGCGCAGATCGTGCTAAAGAATGCACGAGGCCCGGACGCCTTCAAAGCGGCGGGGGTCGCCAAGGACCCCCAGCTGATGCTCATGATGCATGCCCGCCCGAAGCACGCAAAAAAAAGCGCGGTATTTACGGCAGTTCCTGGTGTTGTCGGAGCTGCAGAACGGCCCAAGGCCACCCTGGGCCAACCATGGCCCGGATCCCATCGTCAGAATCTGAGGAGTTTGAGCTTGTGGTCTGGACCCCCGCGAGGGGGAGCGGCCGAATTTAAGAGCTCAAAGGGCCAACAATTGAGCTCAACTTAAACCCTAAACCCTCAATAGCCCCAAAACCGTGCAGTGGTAAGGGGGTGGTAGGTGGGTGGGGTGGGGGGGTGGTGGGGAAGGGGGGGGGGAGATCTTGAGTTGGGCGCTTTGTGGTTTTGCCCACCTAGACATGGTCCTTCAGCTCGCGCGATGCGGGCTTGCGGGCCTCTACGGAAAAAGCTGGCCAGTCCCCCCAAGCCTCCCGCGGACTCCCTAAACCCGAAACCCGAAGCCCTAAACCCCAAATCCCCAAACCCTAAATCCTAAGCCCTAAGCCCCTAAACCCTAAACCCTAAACCCTAAACCCTAAACCCTAAACCCTAAACCCTAAACCCTAAACCCTAAACCCTAAACCCTAAACCCTAAACCCTAAACCTGCCCCCTCCAAGCCCCAAAATTGTCGAAACTGCTCTCGTCTCGGAGGTTCCACGTGGGCCATCCCGAGGTCCACGCCTCCTACTATCGGAAGAGGCCTTCGGGGTTTAGGGTTTAGGGTTTAGGGTTTAGGGTTTAGGGTTTAGGGTTTAGGGTTTAGGGTTTAGGGTTTAGGGTTTAGGGTTTAGGGTTTAGGGTTAGGGTTTAGGGTTTAGGGTTTTATAGAAATTGTCTAGGGCTTGTGTCCGGAGTTGTGGGGGGTTTGCCAGGTTTTGTTTTTTGCTTTTGCTGACATCTTGCCCACTTCGTTTTGTGTGGTTTTGGGAGGCCTTGGAATTGTATAGGGTGCCTTTTGCGGCCTCCTGGTGCCTTTTGGGGCTTGCCCCAAACCCTAAACCCTAAACCCTAAACCCTAAACCCTAAACCAAAAACCCTAAACCCTAAACCCTAAACCCTACTGGGGCATCCTGGGGGCTCCAGGGACCTTGTGCGGCCTTGTGGGGCTTGCAGGGGCTGCGCTGGCAGCCTTTTTTGGCATCTTTCGGACTTCTTTCCACATTTAGGGTTTAGGGTTTAGGGTTTGGGGTTTAGGGTTTAGGGTTTAGGGTTTAGGGCTTGGTGCCTGAGAGTGGTGCTCTTTTTTTGCACCGTGAAGGATGAAAAATTATTGTACGAGCTTCTCGTAATGAAACGCATTGGGTTAGGGGACCCTTCTTTCAGATCCAAAAAGAAGATAAGGGCCAGAATGAGTAGTTTATGATATGAGGGGCCTTGTCAGGGCATCCTACCCACTATTTGGGGTCTATATTCGGCGTCCCTTACTATCGTAAACCCCCTGTATTTGAAGTGTTTTCAGGGAAACCTTTACGGGGTACAACCTTGGGGGTACGAGTTTTAATCCCTTGAACTAAGGTGCCGACTGAAGTCTATGTAGTAGGGTTCAGTGAGTTCAGGGGGAGGGCGCTCTGAAACGCCCAAACGCAAGACCCTAAACAGCCTAAAGACCGAAACCCTAAAGCCTAAACCCCACACCCCAAACCCTAAACCCAACACCCAAACCCCCAAAACCCTCAAAGACCGCCCCACCTGCCAGGGACCGCCTGGCAAGCCTTGTGGCAGAGCACAGGCAGAGGCAGCGGACCCAGAAGGGGGCGGGGGGGGCTTAGGGTCTAGGGTTTAGGGCTAGGGTTTAGGGTTTAGGGTTTAGGGTGTCGGGTTTAGGTGATTTAGGTGAAGTCCTGAATGGGAGCAAAGCACCCTTACACTCGCTACGACCCTATAAACCCTATCAACCCAAGTCCGCAGCCCGCGCAGGGAGTACCAGGAGATGCAGAGGAAGCACCCCTGCTCTTGGCATGGACCTCGGTGTTTAGGGTTTTCGGGCTTTCTAAACCCTAAACCCTTAAACCCCTAAACCCCTAAACCCCTTAAACCCTTAAACCCCCAAACCCTAAACCCTAAACCCTAAACCCTAAACCCTAAACCCTAAACCCTAAACCCTAAACCCTAAACCCTAAACCCTAAACCCTAAACCCGAAACCCTAAACCCTAAACCCTAAACCCTAAACCCTAAACCCTAACCCTAAACCCGAAACCCTAAACCTGAAGAACTCCATAAACAAACACCCTCCAAGGCACACCACCAAGCCCCCGCCACCGGCGAAGAAGGAGGCGCCTCTGCTTCGACCCCAGACTCGGCCTTCCGGAGTTTAGGGTTTAGGGTTTAGGGTTTAGGAGTTAGGAGTTAGGGTTTAGGGTTTAGGGTTTAGGGGGGTTATAGGGTTTTAGGGTGTAGGGGGTGGAGGGTTCCCATGGCTGATTGAGGGTTGTTGATTGGGCTTTGCAGGCTTTAGGGGCCTTGGGCTTCAGGGACGTTCCTTAGCATTCAGGGTTCAGGGTTTTTTGCCTTGGAGTCTCAGGTTGCGGGGTGTCAAAACGAAGCCCTGGACAACGAACAAGTTCCTGCCAGCCTTGTGCTCTCGTCATCCTAGCTGTGAAGCCTTTAGTCTGTAGGAGCACCAGCTTGTCCTAAGCCCCAAGCACTACCTTCTATACCCTAATCGGCCCAGCGCCCTCCTAAAATTCCGAAACCCTACTGTAAGCCCTGAGCCCTAAATCCTAAATCCTAAATCCTAAGTCCTAAATCCTAAATCCTAAATCCTAAATCCTAAATCCTAAACCCTAAATCCTAAATCCTAAGTCCTAAATCCTAAATCCTAATCCTAAATACTAAATCCTAAACCCTAAACCCTAAACCCTAGCCCTAAACCCTAGCCCTAAACCCCAAACCCCAAACCCTAAACCCTAAACCCTAAACCCTAAACCCTAAACCCTAAACCCTAAACCCTAAACCCTAAACCCTAAACCCTAAACCCTCAGCCCATTTCAAAGCACCGGTGGGTCGAAGCCGAGGTTGAGAAGCATTTCGGATCCCAGCCTGGCGTGCTTCTCAGGAACGCTTTCAGGGTAGTTTCATGGTCTTAAGGGTTTAGGGTCTAGGGTTTAGGGTTTAAGGTCTAGGGTTTAGGGTCTGGGGCTGGGGGGGGGCGGGGGGTCTGCGAGATTTCGAGGTTTACGGGAACTTAAGGCCTTTACTCCAAAGGCCAAGGCCTGGCTGCAACCCTAAACCCTAAACCCGAAATCCTAAACCCTAAAACCCTAAACCCTAAACCCTAAACCCTAAACCCTAAACCCTAAACCCTAAACCCTAAACCCTAAACCCTAAACCCTAAACCCTAAACCCTAAACCCTAAACCCTAAACCCTAAACCCTAAACCCTAAGCTACGCAACCCTCTTACTGTCAAAGAGTCCCAGGAACCGGACTGGCAGGGTTGAAGTACCCTTTTGGCAGAGAGATCAGGGCGCAGTCGGGTGCCAGGCTCATCGGGTTTAGGGTTTAGGGTTTAGGGTTTAGGGTTTAGGGTTTAGGGTTTAGGGTGTAGGGTTTAGGGTTTAGGGTTTAGGGTTTAGGGTAGAAACCCTAAAGCCTAAACCCTAAACCCCTACAAACCTGCAAACCCATGTCCCTGGAAAAGCCTGAGACGCAACAGGCTGGAAGCCCTCCAACCTCTAGGCTGAAGCCCTAAACCCTAAACCCTAAACCCTAAACCTTAAACCCCCAAACCCTTTTGCTACTTGGGGGGGTCTTCGAAGCGACTGCATCCGAGGCTAACCTCGAGACCGACCCGCTGATGCAACGAGTTGCGAAGCTTGAGAGGCCGACCTCCCAACCACTTTGCCTTGGGCCGTGAGGGTTTAGGGTTTAGGGTTTAGGGTGTAGGGACGTGTCCAATGTTGTGCAGATACTGTATGCGTGGAATCATGCAGCCAACAATGGTGCAAGTAGTACAGGGCACAGGGCGTGGGGTGTCCAGATTTTGCCCAAGCAGTTTTGAACTTGTAGCCCAGTCCTGACTCCGGAAATGTTGAGCAGGCCACCAGAGAATTCGGAACCACCAGTTTGGACTGAATACCTTAAGCCCTGAGCCATAAAGTCATAAACTCCTAGCAGTTAAATTTACCAGAGGTGAGGTCCACCTGACTTAGCGCCATGTCCCTGGCGGTGGATGTTCCTGGTGTGGGATCTCTCAGTCTTCCGTGGCATGTCGGGCTTACCACTGATGACGTGATTCGCTTCGCCCTCACCCGGGTGTCGCAGCGCTGGCATGGAAACAAGCTCCTCACAAGTGGCTAGGTAGGCCCTAATTAGAGGATATTTTCTATGTTCCCGTATTAGGTTTAAACCCAAAACCCAAAACCCTAAATCCCTAAACCCTTAAACCCCTAGCCCTAAACCCTAGGATTTTTTTTTTCAGAGGGTTTTAGGGGCCATCCTAGGTGGGCTGCAGCAGCTCGGGTCCAACGAAGTCATAACCCAGCAGACTGCACTGAGCGGCGTCGTCTTGGTCAACTATTCCGAGATCAGCGCGGAGGACTCGCAGACTCGCATGTGTGTTTTTCTGTTCAAAAACTCACGTCAGTTCACTGTTAGCTTGCGATGTGTTCAGCATCTGGAAGTGGAAAGCCTTGAAGGAGGCGTGCTACATCGCGCACACGGCCGAGCGAGGCATCAGCTTGGAGCAGTTGCAGCGGCTTGTGAGGTTCATCTCAAAGATGGCGGACCGATGGTTCGAGACATACGGTGCCAATGCAGGCAGCAGATTGACATTCGGCACCTTCAACCTGTACCATGCGAATCACTGGATCATCAAGCCAGCCACGCAAGGCTATCACGAGCAGAACGGATGCAGCTTGGTGGAGGTGATGGCACTGGATCCTCATGCGCAGAAGCCACGGTGGTTCGTGTCCCATGCTTGGATAGCCACCCGCCAAATCTTTAGATACCGGTTTCATTTTATGTCTGCCGGGCACGAGTGCGAGACAGGGTTCACATTGGTGTATAATTAGAACATGTCGCAGATGTTACTCGTGAGACAAGCCGCTGTTTCTACGCCAGGTAAGGTAGTGGCGCCTTCATAGGCGCCCCTTGCGCCATGATGTTTTCGTGTTTGTGACAGTCAGTGAGGAGCCCGTCAGCGAGTTTCTCGCATGCCTGGGGCAGCATGCCCGTGTGAGAGATCTGCCTGGCAGCACCCCCTACTGGGTTTGCGCGTACGCGAACAACCAGCATCGTGTGGAAGACGATATCCAGTGCAATCCTCGAAGCACTTCTTTCTACAAAGCCATGCAGATGTGTGAGGGGGTTCTCCTGGTGCTTGACTCAGCTGGAACGCCCTTTGAGCGCATCTGGTGCTGCTTCGAGGAAAGTATTGCTGCGGCCTGAGTTGCCTCTTTGATGTAGGGTTTAGGGTTTAGGGTTTAGGGTTTAGGGTTTAGGGTTTAGGGTTTAGGGTTTAGGGTGTTCCGGGTTCGGATCGAGTTGCCCGTGCCCATAACTTCAGCTCGCCATGTTGTGTGGGGTGCTGCTCACTCGCACAGTTTTTCTATTTCCGGCAGGGGAAGGAGATGTTTGTCTCGAAACAGGATTTCAAAAACCTCGCCCGCTTTGTCTGCCCCATCTCTGGTTTGAGCCTCCAGCTCTGGTTTGAGCCTCCAGCTGTCCTATCTCAACAACCTATGTGGGGGGTTTCCGAAATTAGGGGGTGCCGTACCCTATTGGGGTCCTCATTTTTTGGGGAATCCTACTCTTTTGGGGGCACTTTCCCAGCAGGGTCCCTTGTTTTGGTAAAGCCTCATTTTTACCCTAAACCCTAAACCCTAAACCCTAAACCCTAAACCCTAAACCCTAAACCCTAAACCCTAAACCCTAAACCCTAAACCCTAAACCCTAAACCCTAAACCCTAAACCCTAAACCCTAAACCCTAAACCCTAAACCCTAAACCCTAAACCCTAAACCCTAAACCCTAAACCCTAAACCCCTTCGGCGAGCTCGGGTCCGCAAGGCGCTCCAAGTTCGCAGTCCCACCCCCCCCCCCCCCCAACTGCTGGTCCCGCTCATGGCCCAAGGGCCCATGCACCTCATTGTGACTCCTTGGGCCTCACAGTACCTCCTATACAGGGACTTTGGGGCCCAAGTTACCCTAAACCCTAAACCCTAAACCCTAAACCCTAAACCCTAAACCCTAAACCCTAAACCCTATAACCTATAAAACCCTAAACCCTTAGGGTTTAGGGTTGAGGGTTTAGGGTTGAGGGTTTAGGGTTTAGGGTTTAGGCGTAAACTTGGGGTTTAGCGTTTAGGCTTTAGCAAGCGTTGGGATTTAGTGAGGGTTTAGGGTTTAGGGTTTATAGGGTCTGGGGTTTAGGGTTTATAGTGTTTAGGGTTTAGGGTGTGCTTGACGCCCTCAGACTGAAAATCCAAAAATTATGAGAGAGGCGGTGAAACGGTAAAGAGTCTTGGGAGAACTGTCCGTGCGGTCCGCCATGTGGTCTGCCTTATAGGGGTCGGAATACTTAATGACTTATAAGCCCCCCTAAAGCCCCCAAGCCCTAAACCCAAAACCCCCAAAACCCTACACCCTAAACCCCTAGAACCCCTTTATAGAAACTTGCAGCTGTCGCATATTGTCCAACCCATATGGGCACTGCTGACGAACAATGCCATTTTTGCGCTAAGCTTATTAACTTAACCGGGCAAGTCTTTGGCGTTCCTGTCCTCGTTCAACTGAGGTTGCTGATGAAGTTATTCTGTATGGTGCAAACATCTAGAGTTTAGGGTGCCTAGTCTCCCAGGCCATCGAGCGTCGAGAGGACGATTGGTCAGCGCGCCGCTTGCTCTTGGACGTTGGTGCCACGGACGCGCAGGGCCAAGTTGCGTGGCGCAGGGATAGATGGCTCGAGGGAGATATATAGCTGGGCCTTCGATTTTTGGGATGTGCTGGGCGTTGTAGAACGTACATGAATGGAACGTGGTGCTTCCGAGGCTCACGTCCTCACTGATGGCCTGGCGGGCGCGGAGACGCGGATGATCGGCATCGTCGGCTTGCACAGGAAGTCGGTGCGCGAGCGCCCTTTCCCCCTGGTGCTCCTGGAGCGAGGTCTGAGCGTGAAGATCCAAGCAGCTCGGCGGTGGTTAGAAGATGTTGGAAGATGTTCTTCTTGCTCCTTTGCTTCTTCTTGCCTCCTTGCACATTCCTTGGCATTACGTTGATATGTATTGGACTGCTGTGCAGAAACCTTGCAAGAAGTCCGGGGCATCATGATAATGTGATTCTGCTCAGTAGCTTCGGAAAAGGCCACAAATCCGGGGAACCAGGCTCATCAGCATGTAACCCTTAACCCCTATAAACCCGAACCCTACACGCTAAACCCCCTATAAACCCTAACCCTACAAGCTAAACCCTATAAGCCCTATAAACCCTACAAACCCTGTAAACCCTACAAACCCAAAAAACCCTATAAGCCCTATAAACCCTATTAAACCCTATAAACCCTGTAAACCCTATAAACCCTATAAGCCCTAAACCCTAACCCAAAGCCCTAAGCCCTCAGCCCTAAACCCTAAACCCTAAACCCTAAACCCTAAACCCTGCCCCAAGGAACCATAAGCCCCATAAGCCCTACACCGCGGAATTCAGGAGGCCAATTACACAGAGAGACTGGACAAGGTGCGGATTCTGAACAGCATCGCCTTCCCTGAGCCTCTTCGTAGCTGAGTCAGTACACTTTACTCTTTCTTGGGATACTGTAATCCCCTATAGAACGACCCGAAACCCTAAACCCTAAACCCTGAACCCTGAACCCTAAACCCTAAACCCTAAACCCTAAACCCTAAACCCTAAACCCACTTTTTTGGGGGCTTCTGAACTCAGCAACTCAGGCTGGGACCCGGCCACTTCCAGGATTTGCAGTCCTACCCCGCACCCTGGGGGACGAAATAAATACCCTAAACTTGGGGTCAGTTTACCCTGACTACTATCATTCCTACTAAGGTATATGAGCCATAAACCTAAACCCGAAACCCTAAACCCTAAACCCTAAACCCTAAAGCCTAAACCCTAAACCCTAAACCTATAGGTTCATGTCGCCTCCAAGGCAGAGCATCCAAACTTTGAGCGGGTGAACCGGGCGCTTGCGTCGCACTTCGCTTTGGCCCTGTGGTACGGCTACGTGCAGGAGCAGAAGTCCACGGAAGTTCTGGCGCGTGCCTTGGAGGCAGACACCTCGCGCCGCATCGTGCAGCTGTCCTTCACAGGCTGCTTGCACTTCGGGGACGCAGAGCTCCAGGTGCTGATGCATCACCTCCCGGATGTGCGCGTGCTGCGACTGGACCTGTGCTTTACCGGGTTGGAGACCTTGGACTCCTTTGTCTTGAGGACCCCGAACACCCCGAACACCGCGAGGGCGCGGGCCGTTCCGGGCCTGCGGTGCTTGGCGGAGCCTTTTTTTAGCGAGATGAGTGCACTTTACACCTTTTGGGATATTATACTCCCCTATAGAACTGAAAGTGTGCTCTTTTTCTCTTTTTTTTTTTGGGGGGGGGGGGGGGGGTTGGTGCTAGAAGGAACTCAGCAGCTATAAGGAGCTCACGCTGCGCCTCACGGGCTCGGAGCGCCTGCGCAGCGTGGCCGGCCTCAGCGAGGCGCTGGCAGACATGCGGCTGGCCTACCTGGAGCTGTGGCCAGGGGTGTGAAACGCATGCCCAGCAAATCTGGGGCTCTAGGACTCCAGGGTTGTGTTGCGATTTCGCGCATGTCTAGTCTTCGTACCCGTAGGTGAGTGAGATTTATCAGATGCTTCAGTGGTCCTGTGCAGGCTCATGAAGCTGCCACAGCTGGAGGAGCTCGGGGATTTGGCCCTGGGATTGAAGAGCCAGTCCTTAGAGGACTTGGTCTTGGACCTCAGCGGGTGTCAGCAGGTCTCCAGGCGCGCGCGCGTGGACCTGCAGGAGGCCATCAGGTCACTAACGCGATGTCGCAGAATGAGCACCTGGGTCCACATTGAATCCCTTGCCGCCCAGCGCTGGGTGCGTCGACGGCTGGGGCAGCTGTATACCCCCCACACCAAGAGTGCCTCCTTTTCGCCCATGAGCTTCTACACTTCAAGCAGCTCCAGCAGTGTCAGCGACGAGTCAGGAGAGGGCTCTGACACAGAGATGCGAGACAGCGAGAACGAGTTTGATGAAGTCAGACCCTTTCCCTGCAGCCATCCTACATGCCGATCCTTTCATAGTTTGGAGAGCGGGTATTGTGAGAGGCATCGCTGTTTTGGTTTGTGCAGAAGGATCTGCTCATCGCTGAACTCTCAACGCCAGTATTTTGAGCTTGTTGTGCTCATGCTCACCCAAGCCATAGCAGAAGCCGAGAGTCGTTATATGTTGTTTCTCATTGTGTTCAGCCTCTTGCCCGTCGCATGCTACAGCTTGTCGCAGTTGATGCGGGCTGACGCGATGGCCATGTTCCTGTCCTTGGTTTTGATCGCTGTCTCGAGCATATGGTATACGACGGCTCGGCTCAATGGAATGCAAGAGCTTTCAAGACAGTTGGAGGTGCTTCTTAGTACCCGACTGAGTACACTCTACACTTTTTGGGATGCTATAATTTATAATCCCCTACGTACCTGAAAGTGTACACTTTGAGGCTTACCCTAAACCCTAAACCCTAAACCCTAAACCCTAAACCCTAAACCCTAAACCCTAAACCCTAAACCCTAAACAGGGGCGGGGGGTGGGAGGGGTGTATGAACTCGGCAACTAAGGCTGACTGAGTCCATATATGCCAGGCACTTGGTGAGCCACTTGTCCATTCTGCTTCTTGGTAGCCCAGTGGTACCTTGTTCCCTTTTTTTGGTTCAAGGTTCACTTAGAAACCCTAAGCCCTAAGCCCTAAACCCCAAACCCCAAACCCTAAACCCTAAACCCTAAACCCTAAACCCTAAACCCTAAACCCTAAACCCTAAACCCTGAACCCTGAACCCTAAACCAAGCTACCAAGGTTTGGTGACCAAGGTAAAGAGCACCTCACCCAGTCCCGCATGAAGAGCTTGCAACAGCACTACTTGGAAGCCAGAAGACATTCTGAGACGTTTCGTGAAACTTGGGTTTTTTTGGGAATATGTTCTCATTTTTTGGTGTACTATAATTCCTAAGAAACTTGGGATTTTTTGGGAATATGTTCTCATTTTTTGGTGTACTATAATTCCTAAGAATATCATTTTTGCTAGGGTTCCAAGTTCAATATAGGAAAGGGTATGCCTGCCTTTGGAAGAGTTCCTGGACAGCCAGATGATGGCCAGATCATGTGACAACTTGCGACCGAAACTGAAGCCAGTGCCGCTTGCGCATGAAGCTGTGGAAAGAAACGGCGGCCCGAGTCGCGTCTTTGACATTTTGTACCATGGTAGCCCAGTGGTACCCTTTACCCTTTTTTTTGCTCTGGTTTCCCTTACAAAGTAACCAGCCAAAAAAGGGTGCCCTTATTATAATATGGCTACTGGGCTACCAAGGTACTGCGATGTAACGCTTCATGACCTGACTGACGTCGCCCGTGCCTGGCAATTTCTCAAGACAAGGTTGGAGAGCGACGAATCCAACGTTGAGATCATGTCCATGCGGGACTCCTTTGCTCTTGCCCAGGCTGGCCACAGGTGTGCAGAGATTGTGGTCAGGATCCACAGCTATTTGGCTACGATCCGGTTTTTTGCTGGCTGCCTCAATGAGCTTGAAGCAGAACTGGACGACGTGCATCGCAGGGCAAGACAGTTGGGGCTTGTAGCCAGTAAGGAAGCATGCCGGCGCCAGCCCGCTTCCAGAACGCGTCCTTGGTTTCTGGACGTCTCCCTCTGCCTTCTTCGTACGATCTCTCTGCTGGCTGCGGTATACCTTGCGGGACAATACTTCGCTCGCTACAGTCCGAAGGTTTTCCAGTCCCGAGTACGCCGTTCACCGGTATGGGAGTATGTGTTTGCCTTGAAGAAAGATGCTGATCCTTCGGCTCATCCTGAGACCTGGGCGCCGTGCTTGTTCTTCACCTTGCCCTACCTCGTACTGACCTTCGTCCTTGTGTGCGACTTGCAGCGATGCCGAGCGAGCGCAAGTACACGTAGCCCGACGCCCATACAGCTGCTTTATGAGAGCGACTTCGGGATTCAGGGAAGATTTTACAGCTTCAAAGTGGCTGTCTCACAGTTTTTTACTGTGATGCTACAAGCTTTAGGCAAGCTTCCAGTCATTGGTGGCTTCGCGTCCTTCGCGCTTCAAGAAGACTCAAACATATCAGAGTCCTTCACGTTGTCGTTCTGGATCTTAGTTGCCATTCTGAGCATCAACAGCCTTTATCCAAGCATCCTATTCTTGTTCCCCTCCGACAAACGGGCACGTCTGGGAGCGGGGATCTTGGATGCCATTCTTGATATTGCTTACACCCTCCCATACTTGGTAGTGACGCTGCTGGCCTCCTATCTGCTGGTTATGAAGCGAACAGTTCCAGGGAACTTCGGTGGAAACGATCAACTTAAACTTCAAGAGATGGCGGACCCGCTGATCGCCTTTCCTAGGGACTTCTTCGGCTACTTCGCCGTCTACTATTCCGTGGCCCATGTGTGCACGGTTTGCCGGGCCCTCGAACGAAACGTTCCTCAAGCATGGCTGATTCGAGAGACAGGTTCTTCTTTGCCGACGCTCTGCCCAAAAAGCGCAGCTTCTGGTGGGAAATGCGAGGCCCTTTGCAAGGTGCTGCCTCCTGGTTGCCGAGCGCGTACCCTTTTGGCATCCTTTTTTTGCTCGTCATGCCTTTCGTTCCTTTGACTACCATGCTGTCTTTGCATGTGTTCCTCTGTTGATTGATGCGTTTTCTTTGTTGCTGCGACTTGGAAGGTATTCGCCAAGCCTGCTGCTCGTCGTCGCCTACTTGGTGCTGTCGAGCACGTCATACCCCAACCACCGGCGTGTCGAGGGCTGCTTTCCTTGTCACTGTGAGGAGGTCGGCGGTGCCAAGCAGCTTTCACACTGCCAGCTGGCCGGCGCTCTTCTTGTCAAGGATGTGTTCCTCAATGACCAGAACATCAGCCGTATTGCGCCGCATGCTTTCAGGTCTTTGCCTGGACTGCAGCGTCTCTCCCTCTCCGGAAATCCGCTGCGCGTCCTGCCCAACAAGCTCTTTGCTCCCCTGAAGGACTTAGAGCTTTTGGATGTAAGTCGCGCGGACTTGCGTCACGTGTCGGCGAAAGCGTTTGCAGGCCTTTCGGCCCTGCGGGTCCTGGCGCTAAGCGGCAATCAACTGAAGCATCTGCCAGAACGCCTGCTGTATCCTATGCCGGCTTTGGAGAAGTTGTTGCTGGGAGAGAAAAGACATGTTCATCTAGAGGGACTCGGTGACATTTTCCCGCAGATCGTTGCTGGGAATCAGCTGCTTTCGCTGCCAAGTGGCGTCTTCAATCGGAGCCTCCGACTGAAAGTTCTAGACCTCGACCACAACCGTCTTGTGACACTTCCTGCAGGCCTGTTTTCGATGAACCCAATGCTGGAGACGGTGGACTTGCGAGGCAACAGCCTCAGAGACCTTCCCGTGGACATCTTCAAGGGTCTCTCGAGGCTGCAGAAACTCGACCTGACAAGAAACAAGCTGAGCGCCCTACCGCTTGGGCTCTTCTCCAGCCTCGGCCACTTGAAGAGCCTTGACCTGAGAGTCAACCATGTCAGCGAACTGGCTGTAGGAGTCTTCGCCGGTCTCGAGAGGTTGAAGAGCCTTCGCTTGGCACGGAATCCACTTCGAACCATTCCTGTTGGTGCTTTTGCCGGGCTGCCCAGCTTGGAGAAGCTCGACGTCATGCACGGCTCGCAAGCTGCGCTGGCAGCGGGACTTTTTGCCGGCCTCCCGAACTTGAAGACGCTGTTCCTCAAGAACAACTCGATCAGCGAGCTGCGGGCGGGAGTCTTCACAGGCTTGGGGCAGCTGGTGTCGCTGTATCTTAGCCACAACCCGCTCGGCAAGCTGCCGCCCGGAGTCTTTGATGGCCTGGGGAGCTTGAAGTACCTCTTCCTGTCGAACACTTCCCTCACTGAACTTCGTGCCTCAGGCCCTTTGTCATCGTTGGGTAACATCTTGCATGTTTAAGGGTACTTTAGCCCAATAAGGAATAGAAATTTTCTTTCTCCCAACCATGAACTACTACCCTAAACCCTAAACCCTAAACCCTTAAACCTTAAACCCTAAACCCTAAACCCTAAACCCTAAACCCCAAACCCTACTAGAGGCCTTGGGGGCCTCAGCAACTTGAAGCAGCTCGATCTCGGCGCGAACTTGCTCACCGCAGTGCCTGGGGAGGTTCTCTGGGGCCATGAAGGCTTGACACTGCTGGAGCTTGGTGACTAGGCAGGCCCTTAAGGGACCCTAAACCCAAAACCCTAAACCCTAAACCCTAAACTCCTTTTAGTTGGGTTTAAGAGGATATCACATTCAGGACTATTCTTTCGAGGGGTTTTGGGCGCCAACCGAGGTAAGAACATGATCAGCGAGCTGCCCGCAGGAGCTTTCACCGGCATGCGCGGGCTGGTAAGGCTGGGTCTGAGCCACAACCCACTCAGGAGGGGGGGTTTCTGAAATCAGTGGTGCCTTATTGGGGTCCTTATTTTATAAAGTTAATCCAAAAGAATCTTAACAACACAAATCATAATAATTAAGGGAGTCCCACTATATGCGTGTCTATTTTAGGGGGTCCCTTATTTTCGTAACACCCACTCAGGAGGCTCCCGGTCGGCGCCTTTGCTGGTCTGAGGAGGCTAAGAACACTCCATCTCTCGAAGACCTCGCTCACGGAACTTCGTGCCCCAGACTTTGTGGGTCTGGGAAGTTTGCAGACACTCGTGCTGGGAGGGAATGCGCTCACTGAAGTGCCGGTGGGAGTTCTCACAAGCCTGCCCGGCTTGAAGATGTTAGACCTGGCTTACAACCGGATCCGCGAACTGCCTGTGGGAGGTTTCGCCACCCTCACCAACTTGACTTTCCTGAACCTCATGCATAACTCCATCCATCGGTTGCCTGTAGGAGTTTTCGCAGGCTTGGGGCATTTGCAGAAGCTCTTTTTGCAACAGAATCCGCTTCGGCAGCTTCCCGATGAAGTTTTTGCCGACCTCCATAGCTTCGACACGCTGGCGCTGTATGGGATCTGCGCAGCTTTACCGGCTGTTTGCTTCCAGTCCACAGTCCACTGCTGCAGCGAAACCCTTTTTCCTAAACCACCTCATCCTCGCCGCGTGCCGTCGTAGAAAATGCGGACCTCAAGTGGGTCAGCAGGGAGTTAAGGTCGAGGTTTCGAAGGAGAAGGGCTGAGGCTTCGAGGTTTTGAGAGTAATTGGTAGGCTTCGGGATGAGCAATTCGGGGTTTCAGCACTGGGGGGTTTTCGGGTTTAGAGTTTAGGGTTGAGGTGTGGGCTTCAGCAATACTAGTTGCTCCGATGCAGCCTCAAACCCTGAAACCTACACATAGACCCCAGCAACCTGAAAACTTTGACAGTAAACTGTATAAAGCTTGAAGACCCTAAAAACCTTAAGACCCTAAGCCCTACAGACCTTAAAAACCCCTATAAAGCTCAAAGCCCTCTAAACCTTTACACCCTCAACCCTAAAAACCTTGAAGCCCCAAACCTTTGAACCCTGTAAACGTTAATTAAGGCAGGGACCCTAAAGCCCAAACCCAACACCCTATGATGACCTTAAACCATATTAACCGCAAGAACCCCGTCCCTACACCCTAAACCCTAAGCCCGAAGCCCTAAACCCGGAACCCGAAACCCTTAACCCTAAACCCTAAACCCAGTTTAGGATTTAGGGTTTAGCCTCTCCGCTTTCTCACGTTTAGGGAGACCCCCAGCTGATGACCCTGCAAGCAATGTTTAGGGTTTAGGGCTTAGGGCTTAGGGTTTAGGGTTTAGGGCTTAGGGCTTAGGGCTTAGGGGAGGTATTTGCCCAAGCCGCTTGTTTTCTGCAGGACTTTCTCCTGTGCTCCCTGAAGCTGTGGTGAGTGTGGCGGCGTACCGCGAGCCGTGGGGAGTTCCGGCTCAGTTTAGAGTCTAGGGACGTCTAGGGTCTTGCGTCTAGGGTCTAGGGTTTCGGGTTCAGGGTTTAGGGCTCGGGGTCTGCTTGGCCAAACTAAGGGCCTGTCTGGAAGCTTGTGCAGTTCACGGGGCGTTGAGATCAAAAACTGATCCTTGACCCCCCTTTGACGCGACAAGTCCTTGTAGAGAACAGGCACTCGAGTTAGGGTTTAGGGTTTAGGGTTTAGGGTTTAGGGTTTAGGGTTTAGGGTTTAGGGTTTAGGGTTCAGCATCTCTGGTCCAAGCATTCACTAGTTGAGCAGCTTTCAAGGCCACAGGGGAATACCCACCCGCCCATTGGGTCCCACACCATTAGGAAAAATATCCAACCTCCTTCTTCTCTAGGCACGTGGTCAACAGAATGGATTTGTTAACCACATGTTTCTGTTTCAAGCGGACAAGAAAACCAAACGTGGTCAACAGAATGGATTTGTCAACCACATGTTTCGGTTTCAAGCGGACAAGAAAACCAACGTGGTCAACAGAATGGATTTGTTAACCACATGTTTCCATTCGGGAACTTATTCTTTGGAAGCCATCTTGAGTTCTTGAGTCGTTTGAGGGGCTTCAGGGGCCTCAAAAACAGGCGCGGTCATTCGGGAACTTATTTTTTGGAAGCCATCTTGAATCGCTTGGGGGGGGTGGGGGTGGGTGTGGGGGTTGGGGGGTGTTTGGGGTGGGGGGGGGGGGGGGGGGTGGGGGGTGGGGGGGGGGTGGGGGGGGGGTGGGGGGTGGGGGGGGTCTGGGTGGGTTGGGTGGGGGGGGGGGGGGGGGTGGGGGGGGGGTGGGGGTTTGGGGGGGTGGGGGGGGGGGGGGGGGGTTGGGGGGGTGAGGGGGGGGGGGGGGGGGGGGGGTGGGGTGGGGTGGGAGGGGGGTGGGGGGGGTGGGGGGGGACCGTGCCCAATTGCACCCGCTAAATATATGACCTTGCCCGCTAAATATATGACCTTGCCCGCTAAATATAGGACCTTGCCCGCTAAATAGAGGACCTTGCCCGCTAAATATATGACCTTGCCCGCTAAATATATGACCTTGCCCGCTAAATATATGACCTGGCCCGGGCCATATATTTAGCGGGCAAGGTCATATATTTAGCGGGCAAGGTCATATATTTAGCAGGCAAGGTCATATATTTAGTGGGCAAGGTCGCCCTTTAGCGGGCAAGGTCATAAATTTAGTGGGCAAGGTCATTTTTTAGCCAATGGACCTTGCCCACTAAATATATGACCTTGCCCGCTAAATATATGACCTTGCCTGCTAAATATATGACCTTGCCCGCTAAATATAGGACCTTGCCCGCTAAATATATGACCTTGCCCGCAAAGTCATTAACATTTATATTATATATGAAAGAGTGGTTTAGGGTTTAGGGTTTAGGGTGTAGGGGTTTAGGGTTTAGGGTTTAGGGTTTAGGGTTTAGGGTTTAGGGTTTAGGGCAAGAGCCGCGTGGCGGAGTAATTCCTAAGCCCGAGCTGTCCGAGAGCCCATGCACTGCCCTTTGGAGAGAAGCTGAAGGGCTCAAAAATCTGCAACTCGCCTATAACAACTTCGTGAACCCTCCCCTCAAAGCCGAAGCCACTCCCAACAAACCGCGAAGCCATAAACCCGAACTGCACTCTAGACCCCCGCCTGAATGAAAAACTAAAGCCTCCTAAGCCCGGCGACAACACCTTGCAAATCCCTCAGAGAGACCCTAAACCTGAAACCCTAAACCCTAAACCCGAAACCCGAAACCCTGAACCCTAAACCCTAAACCCTACGAAGCCCGTTCGGCCCTGGGCCGCCGGCGGGATCCGCGTCTGCGATGGACCTGGGTCCTGATGCCGATGTTGAGATCTACGATTTTCCGACAGGCTCGGCTTGGAGTTCGGGTTCAGGGTTTAGGGTTTAGGGTTTAGGGTTTAGGGTTTAGGGTCTAGGGTTTAGGGTTTAGGGTTTAGGGTTTAGGGTTCAGGGTTTAGGGTTTAGGGTTTAGGGTTTAGGATTTAGGGTCTAGGGTTTAGGGTTTACTTGGAGGTTCAGGGTACTTATAAGCGCAGCTTATAACTGTACCTATAATGCCCCAAAGTCCCCTAAGTCCTGTAAGTAGGTTATAAGTAGACTTATATTTGGGGCTAGAAGTACCCATGAACCTCCAAGTAGCGTTCAGGATTTACTTGGTAGCCCAGTGGTGCCCTCTTGCCGTTTTCTTGGGGGGTTCTAGATTCCCGTATCAGGTAACCCTAAACCCTAAACCCTAAACCCTGAACCCTGAACCCTGAACCCTGAACCCTGAACCCTAAACCCTAAACCCTAAACCCTACCAAGTTTAGAAGGGCTTCGTAGAGTTTCGGGGTTAGAACTGTTGAGAGGGCTTAGTGTTTCGGACTTGGGTGCAGGATTAGGGGCTTTGGCTCCCAGGTGGCCTTGTTAGGGTTTAGGGTTTAGGGTTTAGGGTTTAGGGTTTAGGGTTTAGGGTTTAGGGTTTAGGGTTTAGGGTTTAGGGTTTAGGGCTAGGGTTTAGGGCGTCAAAGGGATTCTGGTCTGGGCCAATGTGGGTTTATCTCATGCCAGCGCCGTGCTGGGCAGCCTGACTCCAAGAACATCGACCCCTCCAATATGAATACTCTTATGGTTGTGAGTAGATTTTGATACGTACTGCTGACTATGAATATTCTGGCTACCCTAAACCCTAAACCCCAAACCCTAAACCCTAAACCCTAAACCCTAAACCCTAAACCCTAAACCCTAAACCCTAAACCCTGAACCCTGAACCCTGAACCCTGAACCCTGAACCCTGAACCCTGAACCCTGAACCCTGAACCCTGAACCCTAAACCCGAAACCCTAAACCCTAAACCCTAAACTCTACAGAAGTCTCCTGCCAAGCCTTCCTGCTTTCCGTCAGGCCGCGGCTTTCGAGCGCGGAAGGCCATCCGTCGTGGGGAGGTCTACCTCAAGGCGCCTATAATTTGGGAGCTCGGAGGGTTTAGGGTTTAGGGTTTAGGGTTTAGGGTTTAGGGTTTAGGGTTTAGGGTTTAGGGTTTAGGGTTTCTTTGATGGTTTTTTGAGGGCTTGTGGGATTTCAAGAAGGCATTCTTGTGAGAGCTTTCTGGTCCGTTCGTCGGGATAGAAAGACCACATCCACTTCACCAAGTCTACAATCGCGTAATCGCGTGGCCGTCGTTGATGTATTGTCAATACACAGCCTCAAGCACCACTCCCTAGCCGCAGTCCGTTTAAGGACCCAAGTTTCAAGTTTTCGCGAAGGAAGTGCCTGCACACGCGCGCGAGCGCGCACGCGTGAGCACGCGCACACACGCACATGTACACAACATATATGTATATGTGTGTGTGTGTGTGTGTGTGTATCTTATTATTGCTATTATTATTCTGATTATTATTGTGATTATTATTGTTATCATCCATTTACTATTATTATTATTCTTCTTCTTGTTATTATCAATTTACACGTAGTGTGTTTGGCGACAGCCCCGTTCCTGCGCCAATGCACATGCCGGAGTCTTTTTTGCAAGTGCATGGCAAGCCCAATCCCTCAATCCTGAGCCCCACACCCTGAACCCCCTAAACCCAGCATCCTGAGCCCTGAATCCTAAGCCACCCCTACACCCTAAACCCTAAACCCTAAACCCTGAACCCGAAACCCTAAACCCTAAACCCTAAACCTTAAACCCTAAACCCTAAACCCCCTAACAGAATCCCTGAACCGACCCGGAGGTGCCTTGGGAGCGATGTTGGTCTGCCGACAACGCGCGTCAGCGCTTTGAGGTGTTTGTTTTTTTTGAGGGGCGTGGGGGGGGGGGGGGGTTAGGGTTTAGGGCTTAGGGTTAAGGGCTTAGGGTTAAGGGTTTAGGGCTTAGGGCTGAGGGCTGAGGGCTTAGGGCTTAGGGCTGAGGGCTTAGGGCGTAGGGTTTAGGGATCTTCTTGGGCTTCGGGGTGGCTTCTGGGGGTTCAGGGGCTTGAGGGTTTGGGGGTTCAATTAGGGCTTTATCGCCTCTAAGGTTTGATGGGCTTGTAGAGTTTATGGGGTTGACTTAGGGTTTCGATTCGCCGTATAAAGTCTTGGTTAGGGATTTCCCTAAACCCTAAACCCTAAACCCTAAGCCCTAAGCCCTAAGCCCTAAGCCCTAAGCCCTAAGCCCTAAGCCCTAAGCCCTAAGCCCTAAGCCCTAA